TCAACAGTGCAAGCCTTCTGCCGCATCCTCTATTCTCACTCTTTGGCTAATGTAAAAGACAATTTAGGTCACTCTTCCGCATAGGCTGTCGGATGCAAGTTGGTCCCAGCGTCCATAGCATGCCGCGCCATCATCACTTGCATACCTCTCATCTTTATATTGTGCTCACTCTGCATCGCCTCTATCTCGTTGTCGCGGTCCTCTATCTTCCCGGTGTGCTTGTTTTGCATGTTCAGGATAGCGTTGTCGAAGGCACTTTGCATTCTTGTCATTTCTTTCTATTGTTCTAGCTGACGAGAGAGTCCATTTCTGCTTGCGAGCCCGTCAAGGTACGGTCCTCATGCTTTCTGAGCCGCCATAATTGACTGACCACTCACTGCCGGAAGTAAGGGATAGCAGCGCGCTATCAGAAGCAGGCAGAGGCTACGAATCCCGGGTACCGCTATCAGACCTGCGTTTGCTTCACTGTGTTTATAGTGTGTTGAAACATAGTTGTCATCTTGCATCTGTTGATTGTGCCTATCTATATCAGGCTATTAGTCTTCAACCAACATAAGCCGTGAGAGAAGATGAAGGGAAAAAAAAAAAAAAAAAAAAAAGAGAGAGAGAGAGAGAGAGAGAGAGAGAGAGAGTAGAGGGAGGAAGCGACCGAGAAGGAGACATCAATTGAATGGCGAAAGCGCTGGCAAAAACTAGTGACACTCTTATTCGAGATATGCAATTCTAGCACCGCTGGCACTGCTAAGACTGTGAGCACCGTCCGCTCCCTCTACTCAGGAAAACGCGCGTATTATGCCTTGGACATAACTTTGTGTGGCGAGTGATCACGGCTCAAAAAAAAAAAAAGCGGGTGTGTTGGCAAGGAAGAGTGCGTGGGAGTATAGTGTATAGTGGACAGGACCTATCTGTTCTCAACCGCCTCTATCCGCTCCATCCCAACCGCACGTTCAATTTCTTGCAGAGTCGCACTTCTTCATTATTGGTCTCATTCAAGTAAATAATATGCTCCCTGTGAGGCTCAGACTCACGACCTTAAGAATATGAGACTCACGCTGTGCTAACTGAGCCAAGGAAGCTTCATTTTGATGCTACACGCGTCCTGCACGCGTTGTGTGGCTAGTGTTAACAAGTTACCTGTTGTGCCGACATGATGCATTGTTTTAGAAGCTTCCCTTC